ATATAGAGGGCCTGCATGTTTGCAGGCTTCTCTGATGCGAAACAACTCGGCTGTATGTTGACGACCTGCTCTGTATGCTGCGCACGGCACAGAGTGAACAAGGCGCCGCACTAATCGTAGCACTGCTCGCAGCACTGCACGCACCGATTAGTTGGAAGAAGGCGCAATTCAGCTCTTCAGTCGTCTGGTGCGGTTGGCATTTCTGCACAGAGACGGAAACTATAGAACTAGTAAAAACGAAACTCTCCAAACTACGTGACCAGTTGCAGGCACTGCAACGGAAATCAAAAATTCCACGCAAAGAGCTAGAGGCGGTCTTGGGTTTGCTTAACTGGGCAACGAGCATTAGTAAACACCTCCGCCCTTTCATGGCGCCGCTATACAAAGACCTGCATAGCGGACAGGGCACCCTGCACAGCATTGCCCCGGCGGCGTGGCAAGCCCTCCACGATTGCCTCGACGCACAGGGTCGGCTCTCTCGCACGCCCGCGGGAAGCTGGCTGCCCCGCACCGGCAAGGTCATAGAGATAGGCTCTTTGAAAATCACGTCTAAAGAGGACGTCCCTAAAGTCCCCCCTTCGCATAAGCACAGCTGGGTACGCATATTTGACCCGCACAGAGGGGAAATCCACCTCCGCCAGGAAAGCCGTTTTGTGATGGAATGGCTGAGGCAATGCTTCGCGCACGAGCAGCCTCGGTCGCTGCGCTCAGCACCACTTCTGCACTGCCTCAGCGCCGCTGATGCATTTGCAGACAAGCACCGCATGGGCATTGGGGGTTGGCTCACGACTTCCAAGCAATACTTTTGGTACAGTGAAATATTCACCGCGCAGGAAGTCAGACAGCAATGGCCTCAGCTTACAGGCAGCCTCCAGCCTTACATTGGCTGCTTCGAAACATTAGCACAGCTCGCCTTGGCGCAGTGCACGTGGCAGGCACTGCGCAGCAAGCATGTTAAGTTCGTGCTGCCTTCAGCCAGCGATAACACCAGCGCTGAGAGCGGCCTAAACAAGCTCTTCAGCACCGCAGAGCCTCTAGGCACGTTTCTCCGCCTGGCAGCCACTTGGGCACACCTGCACCGCGCGCAGTTCCAAGTTGAACACCTCGCTGGGGAAAAGAACGTCTGGGCGGACAAGCTCAGCCGCGGCAGCATTGCATTTATGCAGCGTCGCAACACTGACAGAGTGCGCATCACTCTGGCCCAACTAGCCTCGGCATCGCATGTTTTCTCTCTCTGGCACGCACTGATTTACTTTGTCAGGTACACTCCAACCTCGCGCGGTGGGGGTCTCGGAGCAGTGAGAGGTTGCTGTGTCCGCTGCAGGGAATATACGCGGGGCGCGCTCGCCCTGCTAACTTCCTTTCGAGCGCGCTCCGCTCCGCACCGACACAGCAACCACAGCGGTAAAAAAGAGTGACTGCAGGTTTCTCTTTGTTTCGTTGCGTACGCCTTCCTTCGTACCAACCTAGAGAACGCTCGCTGTGCGTTTGTNNTCGTAGGTTTGGGAGAATTGTGTTGCGTCGCTTGCTCCGCATCGTACTGGCCCAAACCAAGAAACACACGCGAGTAGAGTTGTTGGGCAGCGACCCAACAACAAATTTTTCTACCCACCCTCCACACCCGTTGGGGGAATATACGCGGGGCGCGCTCGCCCTGCTAACTTCCTTTCGAGCGCGCTCCGCTCCGCACCGGCACAGCAACCACAGCGGTAAAAAAAAGTGACTGCAGGTTTCTCTTTGTTTCGTTGCGTACGCCCTCCTTCGTACCAACCTAGAGAACACGCAGATTCAGAGATCTGATGCTGCGTTTCCTCAAACTGCATGGCTGTAAGGCAGATGCCGTCACTGGGCTTAATACCCTTAAGGCTCTAGGGTTGGGTAGCAATTCCGGTTTAACATGCCTGCGCCGCTTCAGCCATCCTCATGCCATTTGGTGTTTTGTGCTACGTCTCCGTGACAAAGTTGCTCCCAAGTCTTCTCGAAAGAAAGCTACTTCCTCAATCATTCCTGATTGGTCTTTCCTTCCGTCGCATTGAATTTCAGCATGCTTTGACGCTCCGGATGCTCGTGCGGCAACGTGAGCATAGTGGGTAAAAATTTATTGGAAAGATATTGGATTCTCTTTTGTATGAATTGGTGCACGAGATGCAATGGGTAATGGCAGTGCACAAATTCTTGCCTGTTCTGCTTTGTTGCCTCTCTGCTGGTTCTTTCGTTCGTGGCCAATTGCATTTTTTCTTGTGCGACTGCTTGCTTTGTTGCGCTGGAGGTGGAGGCTTTTGGTGTGCGTCACGCCCTCGGATTCGTCGTGCTGTTCTTCAGGGTTTTGATGTTAATTTGTTTAACGGGCTGCACCAGTTTACCGTTGCGCCACCGCCCGAGATAGACTCAAGCAGGTAAGTAGCAAAGGATGGGATTGGAGGGCCTGTCCAACGGCTGAAGCCCCCAAGTGTTGGCCTCAGCGGTCGGTGTTCACAGCCTGACACGGTACCCAAACGTTCAGTACCTTTACAGTCTCCGCCCACGGGATGGTCATGGTCGGGATAAGACTTCTGATTTTCAACGCAGAGGCGCCCCATCAGTCGAATGTGTCCTCGAAGTTCAAGCGTGAGAGTCTTTTGATTCGAAAATCAGGGGCGCCACCAGTCCAAGGCTCCATCCGCGGAGTTAAAAGGTGATAAGCTCTGATGTGCAAAATCAGGAGCCCATCACTCCAAGGCTCCGTGCCTTGAGTTCAAGGGTGATCTGATTTTGAAAGCAGGTGTGCCTCATCAGTCCAATGCCTTATCCTCGTGTTAAGTATCCTAATTTTGAAATTAGGGGTGCCCTGTCAGTTCAAGGCTTCTTTCCTTGGAGTTCAAGGGTGATAAGAGATCTGATTTTGAAATTCGCGGTGCCCCATCAGTCCAAAGGTTATTTTCGGAGTTCAAGAGTGATAAGCGTTTAAAAAAATTTTGGGTGCTCCAACAATCCAAGACTTTATCCTCGGGAATGCAAAGGTCACAAGAGCGGAAAGCTTGCGAGGCCCACGAAGCCCCGAACGCGAAGCCGGGCAATCTGCACGAAGCCGTGCGAAGCCACACGACGCCATTCGAAACCGCATGACGCGAAGCCGCGCAAAGCCCGCACGCGCACGCGAAGAGCGGCCACTCAAGAGACCATGTACTGCACAGCCCTTGACAGACGCCAGTTTCCTTCAGTTGCCCCACAATGTTTTGCAACGCCCACAAGCTGCGATCCTCTGTTCTTTGCATCTTGCAACGATCCCAAGCGGCTCCCAGGCTGAAGCTTCGGGTTTTCCATTGATGGTATAAAAGACTTTGTGAAAACTTTTTGAAGTTCTATAATTGTGTTGTGTTGCTAGGTCGAGTTATGGGTTTTGCGCCGGCTTGTTGGTTGGGGAATGTGCTCGCTGTTGGGACATCCCAAATTCAACGCTTGCCTGGCAATCATGAAAGCAGTTCTGAGTGTTTACATGCAGAGCGAGAGCCTGAATAACTAGGGATGTGATTGATTCACAAGTGCAGATCTCGGACTGCAGCCTGGTTTCGCTGGCCGTCCTGGCCTTGTTCTTGAGCCATGAAGCTGGCTTTCACGGTCTTGGCTGCAGGGTTGGCAGTGACGGAAGGGGACCAAGTCGTTCAGCAGAGACCAACTTTTCGGAAGCCCTTCCCGGATCCCGCTTTGTTCCGTCGGAGCCGGCGCCTGGCCCAGGAAGGAGGGAAACCGGAGCGCTTGCGCTTCGAGGTGGAGGACGGAGGTTATCAGTTCAACTACGAGTTTGCAGGTGCTTCCAAAGTAGAGCACGTATTCAACTTGGATTCTGAGGGCGTTCATGGGATCCGTTGCACTGCCGGGCGGGAGAATCATTTGGAAATCTTCTGGGCCAACCTGACCGCAGCAGCTGCGGCAGCACTGAGGAAGGATGCGGTCATCTCAGGTTCGCCGGAGTGGCAGTGCAGCTTTTCCATCCCTGCGAAGTCTCGGAACTCCCGAATCCAAAGTTCTGGCCCGCTCCTGCGTGTGATGGAGGTGGAGGCCTTGGCCACTTCCAGGTCGCTCTGCACCCGCCTTCGGGTTGTTCCCACCAGCCCCGTCGAGATCTTCCGCGACCTTTACATCGACCTGTCATGGCATCCGGTTGGACGTTCAGCTGACCGTCGGCTCCGGGCATGTTCAACAGACCACCACTACAGCTTGAACTACGACTGTGAAAGTCAGAGAGCCTCGCAGAGCCATGTCGTAGGGCCATTTACGTGCTCCAACTGCTATGCGTTGCTAGATATCACTCCAGACTTCAAGCTCCAGACCAACAGTCTCGGCCAACCCACGAGGATCTCCTTGCAGCTGTCCGCGACCTTTGAAGCCAACCTTGAACTGGGCTTGAACGGACCACAGTCCGTCAGCTCAAACTGGACGCAGCTTTTCTCCCAGAGGACAGGAAACCTGCTGAACACCATAGGCTTCGTGATGCCCATGTTCGGTACCCTCGTGAGCGCGATCAACAGTTGGACAGTGAATATGGGCATCTTTGCCAATTACGAGCTCAAGGGCCAGGCAGATGTTCGGAGCATTCTCCAAGGCGTTTTGCAGACGAAGCGGGTCTATGAGTGGACTGGCGCGGAGGTCAGGGACAGCTATAAGATGGAATTTATTTGGTTAGTATCATTGTTGACATCGATAGTTCACTATGGTAAACAGTTTTTTACGATGGTACGGGCGCACAGGCAGTGGGGAGAGTATTTTTCTGCAAGCCGAGGTCGGTTGGACAAGTTCCGAGGGCTTCTTTTACACCTTAGGCACCGTTTCCAGCTCCGGCAACACGTCCACACCGGACCTGAAAGACTTCTCGGCAGACCTGGCAGTGGACCTGGCTCCCTGCGTCTCCCTGGATCTGAACTACGATCAGGAAATCATGTCTTCAGCCTCCGCCTGCTCCGGCCCCAGTTGAGCCTGGCCTGCCGTCTGCGTGATATAGTTCCGTCTTGGGCAAGAAGAAGACGGGGCTGTATCTGAATGGTTACTAGCTCAACATGCTGTAGCTGAAGGGTTCGAGGACTTTCAAGGGCACAGAAGCAACTTCCTGGAACCCTCTCCCCCCATCATGTCAAGCCAAGGTCTTGAGGGCAACGTGGCTTATGTGACGCAGAGGGCCACCACTTCAGTTGCAGCAGATGCAGTTAGTGGCACTTCTCAGGCAAATGACGAGCAATTGTGCGTGGACCTGTACACACAGGATATGAGCATATGAGTGGCGGTGAGGCAGCTTTTGATGATGGATGGTCGTGCATGAACATCCGCACGGCGTCTTTGAGTGACAATCGGCTCTACGTGGAAGTCTGGGAAGATGATACAGGTTGGGACGAGGTCTTCACCGAAAGAGGGTCCATCGACCTGACCAGTGAGGCTATGGATTTTGACAAAAGGATTGCCCTCACCTCAAGCAGCAAGTCAGGTGGGACGTATGCTTACTTATCACTGAAGGTGCGGCGGTCCTCGCTGCGCCTGCTTTCACAGACTGGCAACGAAAGCTCCATAAACGGTCCCTGTGGCCAAAGCCTTTATGCGGGAGCGGGGATTAGTGGTGGCCTGTCAGGATTCAAGCTTCCAAGCGTTTGGGAACATAACGGCACAGTGCTTGTCGACCCCATCTCGCTGGGCAGTGTTCGCACGGAGATGCAGCGTGTTGTCTGCAAGGACCTTCCAGCTTCTGGTGACGCCATGGTCAGCTTGAGCACCAGGTCTGGTTGGCTTTTCTTGCCAGTCTCTGCTCTGGTTTGCTCTCTTTTAACATGAGGTGCGCTCGAAGGTGCTTTCTCCCTTGGAGCTGCCCCAAACCCTGTGCCGCCCTGTGCTACATGTGCTTGCGTCCACGGAAGTGCTGCGGCCGCTAACGGTTTCACCGTAGTTGTGCCGGACCTTCGAAGAAGATGGCAAAGTGGCTGGCAATGGTACTTGGTTTCGTTTCGTTGGGAGTCAGGCAGTCACCACAGGGTTCGGGGCTCAGGGCTTGGGAACAACTGAAGACACCACACCCCAAACAGCCAAAGCCCCGAACCACTAAAGCCCCCAAATACCAATTGTCAGAATCGAACCCACCATAGCTGACATCGCTGTTTACTGTTCAGACTTTGGGATTCCAAGGTCACTTTCATATTGCATGCCTTCTGCTGCTGCTGCTGCTGTTGCTGCTGCTGCTGCTGCTGCTGTTGCTTATGCTGATGGCGGCGGTGATGGTGGATGTAGTTTGTGATGACGAGGAGGTAGAGCAGGAGAAAAGTCCCAAGTGCAGCGCCAGCACCAACAAAAACACCAATGTTGGCACTCGTGTGGACGCTGACAGCAGCAACGACGCTTGGACACTTGGGCTTCTCCGGAGGAGTATTATGTTGTTGAGGTGTTGAGCTCTTTTTGGATAGCCTTCAATGGCCCATGTAGAGTGCAGTCAACACCCTTACCCTTGTCGTAGACACCAAATCCTTCAGCAAAATTCTGAGCGCCAGGACCACAAGGAGCAAACCCCCGCCTTCAGCGCAAATTTGAGACTCTAACTGCTGTAACCTTCAACCAACAACCCCACAGCCGCACGACCAAAAGCCGTATGCCCCAAACATTGGACTCCCGAGGCCCAACTGCACGGCACTCATGTAAAGCCAATAGTGCCCCTTTGTCTCTCTTGTCTGCATCGCAAATATGAAGCACGACGAACCGCATGGTCCTTCAGTGGCAATGAGTGGGTTTGTTTTCAACAGCTACACTTCGCTAAACGCTCTATTACGATAACGTATAACCATCCCCCACAGCCGTACCGTCTGCATGGCGCCTTGGCTTCTCCTCGTGGCAAGCTGGCGCACTGCTGGGGCGGGAGTGCCGCTACCATGGATTGGCTTAGGCCTTGGTTATCACTTCAAGCTGCTGCTTCAGTTTTTATCGGGTCCTGGGTGATGTTCCACTGTTTGGAGGGTCCCCAAGGACAAACTGCTGTTAGAGCAGCCAGCAACAATAGTAGTGGCCTCTTGTTGAAGGCCTTGCCGGCAACTTAGACCACGACCCGGTCGGAGTCGCCGCTGCCGTGGAGGACCCTCTGCCCCTTTGCCGAGAGCTGAAGCCCCGAAGTTCTGCAGCTTAATGCAGCTCACCAGATGTATGTTCGAAGCTCTGATTCTTGACAGGAAAATCAAGCAGCCACGCCAAGCCTCGGAAACCTGAGTCTTTACACCAGACCATAGAGCCTGAACTCCAAGCCATATAAACCCTAAGATGCCCGCGCTGAACCCTAAATCCCTGTCCACGAAGCAGACACACAAAGCTTGGAGGCATGGCTCAAGCTCGGCGGGCGAGCCGTGGACACGGCGCTCATGCACCCAGGCTTGGAAGGTTTCGCGAGCCGGTCCTGCTTCGAACGAGTGTCGGGGAGCTAGTACAGCGTCTAGGATTTCAGGGTTCCTCCTTGTTTTGTGGATTTCAAGACGTCGAAGGTTTGGATCTGGAGGTTGCGGTAAATTTTGTGGCCCTAGAGCGCCCAAAGAACCAAAGCCCAAAATAAACCCACGGGGCCGGAACGCCAGCCACTACTTTGTGAATACTGAAAGGTACGGCCACGACCAGGGCTTGCAGGAGGGTCTCAAGAAGAGCGGCGTGCCGTCAAAAGAGGTGGGAGACTTCTCGTTGTGATTGTGGTTCAAGTGGACCGCCTCGAGTCCATCAAGCCCCAAGCGCCAGCGACCTCAGCCTAGTGCCGGGCGCGGACCGTGCCAGACTTCAGTCAGCGTCCAGCCAAACAGGTTTACATCAGCTCCAAGATTCCCCCCGAGCGCATGGGGTTCGACGAGACGCTGGCAGCCGCTGCCGAGGCGCGGAGGACGATCGGGCGGCCAGTGGATTGCTTGCTGCTCCGGCTGCCATTGAAGTCGCAGTTGCAGGTCTAGGGAATGCCGTCAAGGCTTTCAAAGGTTCTCACCATGTTTGAGGTGGGGTCAATGGTCAGGAATCACGACTTAGGTCTTTTGCCAGCAATTGTTCTTCTACTTTGTTCACCATTGCTGAGTACAAGGGCTTGTTTTCATGAGGTCTGCGTGAAGGTGACTGCTCCTGTTGTTCCAATGTCAGACTCTGTCTGCGTTACTCTGAAATAACCGGTCTGGCATTCGTGTAGAGTCATAACTATTTTCGTCGCTGTGGCGGCTATCCCGATGCCGCAGATAGCACCAGTCTCGCAACATTCTGAGTTAAAACTCGCACACATCCCAGAGCACTTCTGCAAAAGTTTGATTACAATGGCACAAACTGCACCTCTGGGTTTGCAGGAATGCGCTATAGCTCTTACATTGGCCTGGCATGATATAGCTGTTTCTAGATTCTAGCTCATCTGATTAGCCTGAAATGATGTTGCTGTTGTTTCTCACATCCCATGCCGCTTTTGTCGTGGGTCCATGATTTACTAGCATGCTTATCTTTCTTGACTATATTGCCATTCTTGTTACTTATAGTGTTTCTACTGTTCTTATTCCTGTTCTTGCATTCTATTGACTGTTCAGTCTCACGCCTTTAGCGTTCGTTTGCTAACCTGTCGCATGTCAAAGGTTGCGGGATGATTGCCGTCGTTTTTCCTAGTCTTATTGCTGATCCTTGCTTGGATCGCTATGGCAGTTCGGGTGACATCAATCCAGGTGTTCCGCAATCTCGAGGAGCTCAGGGATCGTATAAAGTATCGCCAAGGTGCGGTGCTCGTTTGTCATACCGTGTGGTTCGGTCGGCCAAGCGTTTTGGCATTTCTGATGCTGTAAGTCCGTTTGTGGGGGTAGGGGGACGCTGCCCCTTCCATACTTGTAGATGGATTGAGCACCGGGAAGCTTTGGTACTGCTTTCGCGACCCGCCTCTCAGGCGTTTGGGTTTTCAAGACCATTCATTTTACCCTTTCGTTCTCAATCGCTGCTGCTGCTGCTGCTGGTAAAATGCTTATGCACGCTACACATCCAAGACCATGAGTACGGACTCCGAGTACTCGCGAATGCTCGAGTATGCTCGAGTACGCTCGAGTATGCTCGAGTACGCTCGAGTATGCTCGAGTATGCTCGAGTACGCTCGAGTGCGCTCGACTACGCCGGAGTGGCGCTACAATGTGTGTCAGTTACATGAGCTTGCTG